TTCTAATTGAACTTATGGCTGGAGATAGCTTCAATGGACTCTTTTTTTTTTCTTCTGGTTAAATTTCCTTGGGGAGTGTACCCCAAGACCTCGCTCTTAGTGATAACTTACTCTGGCCAGCAAAGCCAGGGTCTATTTATTACATCTCCCAGCGCCCCCCCTCCACTGCAGCAGGAGGGGCCCCACTGCTGTTGCTGATGACTGGAGAATTACTCAAGTGTGAACTGTTGCACTGTCTGTCACTTTGCTCATTAGGCAAGTGAGAAAACGTATCTATGGCTCTGTCTCATGGTCCTCATTAGCTTAGAGGCACATTTTTACTTCCCTTATTTGTTTTAAAGACGAATGCATAAGAAGCGGTATTAGGTTGGTGTTCCTCAGTATAATTTTAAGAAGCAAAAGCCTGGATAATCTTATTATCTTCCCAATAATTGTGTTGTTCAGACGAAAGAGAAAGGGTAATTGTCTCTACTACATTTCCAGCCAGGGTGGAGGGGGGGTAGCTGATTTAGTTCTGGTAAAAATTCCTGTCTGCAATGTTGGTGGAAGATCCTGGTGTTTTATGAAAGATAGTAAACAGATCCCCAATAAGGACAATGACATCAACTAATGAGCCTGCATCCTGGAAACACTGCTTCATTTCCTCCTAACGTTCTAGTCCCTGCTGGTAGAAAATACAATATTATCTCTGCCTTTGTGTCAAATGTAATTCCATTTCCTTTTGCAAATTTAGCAAAAGGTTAGGGTTGGAGTTTTTCGATTTTTGTGTTTTTTTTTTTTTTTTTCCAGTGGTGCATTGGATGGTGAATATGGGAGGGATATGTGGGGGAACATCTAGTGTTTGATTTTTATAGAGCACTCTTTACAAGTATTTATGGCTGTTTATCATCTCTAGATTTCTTTACTGAGATGATAAAATGGGGCTGAGATCAGCCAATATCATTCAAGAGTTTGACATTCCGGTTGCCTTCCTGATAGAAATGTGTCGGCCAATTTCTTCTTTGCTGCACTTAGCTTGGGGTGTTTGGGATCCATTTTTGTTCAGCCACATAAATGTTCCAAATTCATTAGCATCTGTGTGGCTTCCCAGCTGCAGATACCCTGTGGCTGTTGATTTCAGTGGAGAACATCTGCCCCACAGGGCTAAAGGAAGAAACCTGCTGTATTCTTTTCCTTTAGCTTAAAACTTCTAACTCACATGGATCATGTTAGGGTTGACATTAGCCACTTGCGTCGGTGCATATACAGGTTTGCAAAACAGAAAACTATAGATGACTAGACTGATAAATATACGGAATATGTTTCTGTTTAGTTGCATTCTCAGATCTGAGTCTTGGAATCTAAGAAGTGTGGAAAAAGGAGTATTCTTCTATTTTTTTAATGCTTGATTCTTTTAGTAACAATGCCAGCTAAAATGCCTGAATTTTCATCTGCCTCGACCATTTTCCCCATTCAGAGAAATGAGAATGCACATCACCCATTCAAGGGAAATATAATGCATTATTATAATATGACTTGGCCTAAGTAGCTAATCACTTTTTATTAACACTTTTTGGCCCAGGGAGTTGGGATTTCTCCAAGCTGCCTGTCAGAGCAGGGATTCTGGGAGTCTATATTAGTAATTAGCATTACAAGATCTCGACTCCTGGGGTGATTCAAATTAATACAAAATAAAAGTGCAAATTTCCAAATAGCTTTGAAAGCCATATCTATTATTAAATTTGTGTTATTAAAGCCCTTCCCAGCCAGTATGACAGGAGTCCAAAGCAGACGGTTTCCTTAAATATCTGCACGACTCGTCTTGGGTTCTTTAAAATTAAATAAAAGAGCATACAATGAGAGATCAAAAGAATTTTCTGTACAATTGAGTTACGCCTTGGCAGTAAAGTTTTCCACCAAACCAAATCCCTACAAAGCAATATTAGTTTCATGGTCACAGTTGCTTTTGGACTTTCCTTGATACATTTGGCAGCTATCTTGAGAGCATCCAAAGAACCGCTGGCAACATCAATCACTCATTTCATAAGCAGGCGCTAAGAGGCGACAGGAGGGCGCTTGGCACAATACCATCTCCCCACCATGGAACCCCTCCCAGGCAGGAAAAAAAGAAGAAACGGTGTAGCATAGAGACATTCTGGAGCACCCGTCTTGGAATAAGGTTCCACTAATGTGTAAATAACCTGCTTTCTCTAACCATGTCTTTAGCAGACTAAGTGGTTAATTGTTATTGATCAGCTCTGCCCACTGTTCCAATATCAGTCATTATTGAAAATAATCTCAGTATCCTTCATTAAGCATGCATCTGTTTCCATGGGAATGCATTTTAAACACAGAGAGCTACTTGAGTGTTATTGGTTTCACTGGTAGCGCCGGCAGTGAGGGCTGTGGTTGCCCAATCTGTCATAGTTAATCAACTCTCATCTCTTAACACTGGCTGCAGTTATCAATGAGGTAAGGATTAATATTCTGGGCGAAGCAGATGATAAATCATTTGTATATAATTAGTGTACAGCAAGGTTACAGCTGACATGAATTTTTATCTTAATTATGAGAGAAATTTGTTCCATTAATTTAATTTAGTTTGCATGAGTGGCTAGACACCTAACAAAGTTAATCTTACACCTGTCATTACAACATTAAGGAGAAAGCCTCTTGTTGAGGCGCCAGTCTCAGATCCTCCTGCAGATGAGGATAATGTTGTTCCTCCTGATGTGGAAATAGATGATCACAGACAGAAGATGTAAAGTCGACTCTTTTTAAAGTTGTCTCGGGGGATTTATGGGAGAATATTGAAGTAATTCAACCCAAGTTGCTGTGCTTTGGATGCCACACTCCCTTTTCAAAATTACCTCTCTCATGCCATGTAAATCAGGTGGAAGACACAAGAAATTTTTTTAATGCATATATGCTAACTTCAGAGCCTCTAGCCAGACACAGCTTTGCCTTGTGACAAGCTATTGCATTTATATAAAATGTAGTGAATTAAGAAACATGTGCTTGGTCAGGTTGTCTGTTCTAGGTGCTTCATGTTTATGTTATAATTGAACGGAAGAATTCATACAACTCAGTCTAGTGTACAATGGTAATTATGCAGGCATCCTAAAGCCTTCAGCATTCTGCACCAGCCGAAACCTTGAACTCATTATCTAAGTATCCACTGTGTCTGATCAATCATATTTGATTGATATATTGGGGGGTGGGGAGACTGTTTATGCTGCAGAATGTGCCGTTCTTTATTTTCCTAATGATTTCAGATAAAAAATAAAAATACTTGCTGAGTTGGCTTATTTCAAATGGTTTCCTTATAGTCTTGTCTTTGGGATTATTATTTTGCTCTGTTGTCTGACCTGGTGTAGGGGAAATCATTAAAGGAAAAAGGGCAGAAAGTCACAGAATTGCTGGACAAAATCCCGGTAAATAGGATGACCAAAGAACAATTTTAGAGATGTTGAAGTAGAGCTAAAACTGGCATGATGGAAGAGCCCATTTGTGAAACTGTGTATTTGTACTACAAACCCCAGCTTCCAAGGGAGAGGACCTTTGCATTTAGGAAACCCAAATCAGCCTGCAACAGAAATGTTAATTGCACAGTAACTCAGATTAATGTATTGTAATATTAGTCCACAATTATCAGTTGGAGATAGGGTCAAGAAGTGTGTAGTTGGTTATTCACGAGAAATGACTGATTTAAAAACAAAGAGCTCTAATGGAATTCAATAGTGCTTTTCAGTCATTCTGCTTGGCATCTCTATTACCTGAGATGATTCACAGTCCATTATGGGAGCTTCCATGCTAATAGAATGTCTATCTTCTGTAATACAGACACATCAGAGCACTAACTGGGAATCTGTCACAATGAATTTCATCTAGATTTCACTTCATCTCTTCATGGACTGTAAAATTTGCTCTTGTACAATGCCTAAATTTACTGTGGGTAATTGAGAGAGATCTATAGATGCAGCAGCACTCGGTAAAAAGCAGTTTTCCAAAGATCTATTGTAAATGGTGCAGCTTTGCCTCAGCTGGGAAAGATTATGAGGAGCTGAACCTTGCCTTTACTAATGAGATGTTTTGGTGGATTCAAAAGGGCGGGGTGGGGGGAGAGATGCTTTAGTGGATTCTGCCACGTGGAAAAAGGAAAACAGGACCCTATCTTTCATTCCGAGGAAACCTCTGCAAAAGGGACAAAAATAAGTTTGGACACAGGCTTCATTACCTTCCACGGGAAGTATAAATCAGGGCTACGATAGACATAATATTTTCCAAATCTGCCTGCATTTACTTGGCAGAAAAAGAATGTCTCATGCATGACCCAGCCTTCCAGTAGCTTGCATTCGCCTCCTCTTGCAGCTGCAGGTAGAACAAATTCCATCTCTCATTTGCTAAGCCTTCTGTTTCACAGATTGTTAATCCTAACTAAAATATTTGGTATTAAGCTATCTGCATGAATTGTTGATAAAGAATTAAGATAACATTTGAGCTATTAAATATAATGTGTGATCATATTTTTTCAATGGATACTTGGGTTACTGCTCATAAAGTATACATACCAACCTCCCCCCAACCCCCCTTCAAACCGTTTCCCCTTCTTTATTTTACTTATTCCCATCAAAAGCTAAACAGAATCACTGGGTGCCCTTAACAATCATAGGGCTTAATATTTGTTAGCCAATTAGAATTGTGATATATTCTATAGCTTTTTTCCTAAGCCAGGAACTGAATAATAGCATCATGCTTCACTGGCGGTGAAGTGAGCTGAGCCTTTACATTAGGAGAAAATCAGAATGGTATGACTGCAGTTCATTACTGAAATAGGTAACTGATGAACTGAAAAGACAAAGGGCATTGTTAAATGAAATGTCATTATTAGAGGTGCTCATGTTTAACAAATGTACTGTAAGTTAATTCAGTAGTGTTTTCTATAAAGTTCTCTCCTGAATGTTCGCTGTTCATTTTTACTGTCTCTGCATACCTAACATCTCCTTAAAAATGTATTCCAGGAACAATGTCAACTTCCAATCATGGGGAATAATTAAACCAAGGTCAGAGTCATCTTCGGATCTCAGGTATTTGTGTCACTTTCACTGGAAACCTTGGCCAGATGTAATTGTGTTTATGTTCCTGGATTTACATGCAATGTGCAAGGGTGTTAACAATGCTGGCGGGTAGGAGGAGGGAGGGAAGGCGCACAGTTTGCAAAAGACCTGAGAAAAATGTTTTCAGCTTAAAGACGAAAAAAAAAAAAAGCAATGAAACCCCTTTGGCATCTGTGCAAAACTGTTTGCTTGACTCTGGAGGTGATAAAAATAATTTATGAAGCTCTACATTTTTAGCAAGAGGAAATGACCTCAGCTTTTGGCAATCTGATGCAGTTAGTGAAGCCTCTCTCTACTACTTTTATGGATTTCCTTGAGCTACATATTCTGTGACCTGTATTTCAGATTTATTGGCAGATACATAAGCCACATTAAGTAATATAAAATGCGGTGAATGCATCAAACAACTCAGCAGGGACCGACTGACAGCAGGAGAGGAGAGGCTGCCTCTTCGAAGGAGTCCCTCTGAATTGGATATGTGTTTATGCATTTGTGTAACAAGGCTCTGCATTTTTGTTTTAAATAAAGACATTAGTTCAAAACAAAGGAGTCTCCAGCTAAACACACAATATATTGGGTGGCAGGACGAGAATCTACAGCAACTATAAAATCTAATCAAACCCTCAGGATTTCGAGTGCGAACATACTCTGCTTCCAATTTGCGGGGTAGTGGTTGGGGCTGGAGGGGGGTGGAGTCTGGCTTCTCAGTAGGAGCAACAGCATGTTGTGTTTAGTTCCAAGCAAGACAATAGAGTAGCATTTTGATGAGAAGGATGCAGGCCGACCAGAATGTCTTTTGGTATGTACTTACTGTCCTGATAAAGAAGAGTCTTATCAAGGAACTGAGTGAGTACTGAGCAGTGCCATACACCAAGCACTGAGGACAGAGCAGGCAGAGTTTTCATAAAACCTAGATCCCCATCCCTGATGCCATAAGAGGCAGGGGTCCCAGGTGGCCAAGAGGGAAAAGGACCAGTGTAGTAGTCAGGAGACCTGAGGTCTAGCTGGGCCAGCTGTGTCACCTCGGGCACCTCACCCCCTCTCTCTGGAACTTACTTTAGGAAGTTAGTACTGACGGGTGCAGTCCTGTTAAGGTGGAGAAAGAATGAAGCATAATAGTAACAGAATAGAAGTATGTGCACTCCTGTTGCTTCATGAGCAGCTCTAATGATGACGACTGTCATTGCGGGGCACTCGAGATGAGTTCTTTCTTATCACTGTTCTGCCACATGGGCAGCATCATCGCTGACGGGCAGAAACACAAATTGAAGTGCAAGGAAGGTTGGAAATATTTCTCATCACTGGAATGCAAGAATGAGATTCAAACCCAGATCCTTCAGCCACCAGCGTCATTTCTATCACATGACCCTTCAGCATGCTGTCCAGTCACACAGATGCTCAACCTCTGAACACGTAATATAGCTGTGTCCTGCTGGCGACGGGTGAGAAACTACAGATAAGGTAGTCAGAGGATCCTTCCATGCTGAGTCACATGGAGCAAGATGAGTTGCAGGCTGTGGCCAAAGCTGTGAGTTCAGAGTCAATCCTCAAGAATGTGTGATGGTAGCGGTCATCTTGGGCTCCCACCATGGCCATTACCGTCACCAGTGTTCTGCCAGAGACAGAAGGTGAGGAAGATTGAAAATGTTGAACAGGGATGTGAAATAACAACAATGGGATGGCTTACGACTTGGACATAAAAGCCACGCCTCACACTTGCAAAGCACCTCCAGCTGCCTAGAATGTTCATCAGTAGTGAGCCAAGGGTAATACAAAGGGAAATCCACATGGGCAGGATTGAGACCTGGTCTGGAAAGAAAGAAGTGCGTAGGAGAGGCACCAGGACCGGCAGTAAAATCCCACTTGGAAGTGCCAGTGCCGGTGGTGCCTGGCCTGGGGCCAGCAGAGAAACACGTGGTCCAGGCAGAGCATAGTGAGGGCTGCATTGTCAGGAAGGACATAGTATTATGAATGTCTTTGTCATATTGAAAACATCTAGTCGCTCTAAGCAGCCATTTCAGATCTGAATGTTGTCCCCTTTCCAGAAAGGTTTCATCCCAGACTTGAGTTATTCACATTGTTTCTCCAAATACCAGGTACCAAATACCTCCAAATCCTGAGGTTGATAAAATAGAAAGCACAGGAATGCATTTGCCTTGGCTACATGTTCTTCAAGTACATGGCTGTGAAAGAGCCCAGATCTCTGCTTACTAATTTAATAAGAGAGTAGAGACAAGAGCCACCTCTAATAATTCAAAACTAAAATTAGACCTTCACTTGAAAAATTCAGGTAACCGAAACAAAAACGAGGGGAACCTTGTTTATTTAAATTATGGAGATAATTGCCTCGATTCTCCAATTCCCCTCAGTAGGGTAGCCTTGGCTTGAGTGTATCAGTATCCATGGTGACTCATCTAATAAGTAAACTGCATTAGCTCTGCTACCAGCAGAAAGGGAAGGGAAAGGTCTTGAAATATATCTGTCGTGGCTTCCTTCCAGAGCAAGGGATTTCATTATATCCTGAAGACATGAGGCAGTTCAAAGGGATTTGAAATATGGAATGAGAAGGAGGAGGAGGAGAAGTTTGGGATTATACACTTGCTTTTTAGTTTTGTTTTTATAGATGAGAATCAGACGCTAGAGACAGAGACTCTACGGGGAGACTTTATTCTTCTGGTCCAGGGTTTTGTTTTGGTTTGTTTCATGGTTGATATCATTCCAAAAAGTTCCCCCACACGAGCAGCCTTTCACATTTACTCTTATGGACATAATTTCAAATAAGTATGACAGCAAATCCTTTTAAAAAATACACATACATGATTTTATATTCCATGGCTGGAATCAGACTTGATGGAACAAATGCATGGTGGTGCCTGTTTAGTAAACCCAGACAATGTGGAATGATAATAGAAATCATCCCAAAAGAGGCGCCGCAGTATTCCTGTAGCAGCAGAATAATAACTCGCTTCACATCCATCTACTTCGGAAAACCATTTTATGATTACAAGCATGTAAGCTCTTCTAATTATTACTGTAAATAATTAATCATTTCCTTTACAATCACTTATTAATTAGCTGTCATAACACTTCTGTAAGTTAGGTGGAAGACAAGGATTCAATATTCAGATATTAACACCTAATTAAAATATGCATTGTCTTCCATATGTTGTTTATAGCTTGGCTTCCTCTCTCTGGATGTCAGAATTTCTCCAACAAGAAAATGTTCTCAATTTGCTTAGCTACAGCGCCATCTGTTGTCAGGAACTAGAAAAAAAATCCTTTTTCTGCTTTTTCATAAAAAACAATAGCCTAAGTCTTATCTCTTAGCTTTTTTTTTGGAATTGAAAAAGTTCGATATACAGAGTTTTCCTCCTGAAATATTTTTCTTGACTTTACTTGTCCTACCAGTGACTACGTGGTCGGCTGACTCATTCCACTGACGATATCTAAGTGATAAGTCAAGTGAGTCTGTTAATAAAGCTACAGTGAAATCCAGCCATCTCTCAGTATCTTTGAGGGAATTGGTTCCAGGACTCTTTATGGATACAAAAATCCTTGGGTGCTCCTGTCTCTTATATAAAATGGGATACTATTTCCATATATGTGACCCTGCCTCCCATATACTTTAAATCATTTCTAGATTACTTGTGATTCCTAGTATAACATAAATGCTGTACAAATAGTTGTCATACAATATTGTTTGGAGAAAATTCTGCACATTAATTTTTTCAAATATTTCCCATCCAAGATTGTTTGAATCTCTGGATGCTGAATTCATGGACACATATGTCTGACTGTATTCAAACTACTCCAACACAGGAAAAGTATAGGAGGATCCCTAACAAGTTAGGTTTACAGAGAGTCATAATTGAGGGAGATTAAAATTGGATCATCCAAATTGCCTAAATATTTACTCTACACTAACTCATCTGTTTAACAAAAGCTCACATTTGTTGGATGCCCACTGAGCACCAGCACTGTTCATTCCTGCAATAATTCAATAATGGTGACACACTGTGATTGTGCCCATTTTACAACAAGAGAAAGAGAATCACTGAGAAGTAAAGCCATTTGCAGCTGCAGGGCAGGCTACATAATTTGCAAAATGCATTAGACAAAAGTTACATAATATGTTTAGGTGTAAAATGAAAATGTGGTGACTTTAAAGATACAAAATATTAAAATAAAAATTTATAAGAAAAATTTAATATGGATTTTTATTATATTTATGCTAATTTTATTTGCAAGGCAGAGAAACACAAAGACAGAGACAGACGCAGAGAAATCTTCCATCAGCTGGTTCACTCCACCAATAGCCACAACAGCCAAGACTGGGTCATACTGAAGCTAGGAGCCCAGAAATACATCTGGGTCTCCCACATGGGTGACTGGGCCCCAAGCCTCTGAGCCATCACCTGGTACCTCCCAAAGTACAGATTAGTAGGAAGCTGCCAAGGGAAGCAGAGGAACTGGGACTTGAACCACACACTCCAATATGAGATATGGGTGTCTCAAGCTAAGAGTTAACTACTGCACCAAATGCCTACCCCATTCATTTTTAAGTTGTAGGATCCCAGTTTTACATGCAAATATAAGAGCTTTTAACTAGTATGCAGAATAATCAAAATTACACAATTCATTATTTTGTAGCTTGTACATGTTTATGTATTTCACTCTCACTAGAACAATAGAAGTACTACACAAAACTAAGTCAGCGACTTTTATTTTACTTGATATGTGCACATTCTTCCAACACTGTTCAGCTTATTGAAATGGAATTACAATTTTCTTCCTTCATTGTCACCATTTACAGGATAAGTGGTTGACTTATACAGAAAAATAATATAATAAAGAACATGGTGAGGCTCCCTGTTACTCATGTTAGAATTCTGCTCATTTGTTTGTAGGATGCCATTGCCTTCTTCCTGTGTTCAAAGCAAGTTCTGGTGTAAGTGGAAAGCCATGGGGAGATATAACATGCTCACCTTGCACTCACTTTGGGTCTCACTGGACTCCCACGTCCTGTGAGTCCACCAGAATTCCAAATCAGGAATTGCAAACTCTATAAGGGAATGGTATGGCAGGAACAGTGAACACCAAGTTGTGCTTATCTTCTGCACTCACCTGCGTGCTTGGATATTCTGTCAAAATCCACTTGCAAAACACAAGTTCAAGATAAAAACTATCAAGAATTTCAAGGCAGTTTCAGCAGAACATTAGACCGAGTCTGAGGCTCTCTGAGCGTGGGGCCCAGGAGACAGCACATGTGACATGCCCAGGAAGCAGACCCCACCACAATGTATACAATGGCAATTCTGAACCCAGACAGTCTTAGTCCAGACCTCATGCTCTTCATCATCATGCTCTGTTGCCCCTCAGACTGTGCCCAGATGTTTTTCTGTACACATCTAGGGTGGGTGGAAGGCCTTAGATGTCCAGCTTTCTCATTTTACCAACAAGAGGCCCAAAGAGCCAGGATACAAAACCTTGATATACTGATTCCAGATCTCCTCAATCAAATTGAATGCATCAAAACGAAAGCTGCATCTTCTTGCCCTCGCTACACCCTCTTGCATCCATTCTTCCTTTCTTGAGCCCCTTGTCATTTGCCACTCACAGCAATCCTGTTCAGTTTCTGTGTGCGTAGTTATATGAACCCCCATCACCTCCACCATCACCCAGAGAAGAGCCCATGGACAAGCCTGGGAAAGCCATATCTTCCACAAGAATCTCCCTACAGCTGTGGGGTAACAGACACCCTCTTCCTCTGGGATGCTGGGACCTGAGGACTGTGAAACCATTGAGCATCCAACTTGTCACCAGGCAGAGAAGGACTGTCTGAGAACAACGTCTACAAGGAGGAAAGCAGAGCTGAGAGATGCACAGTAGAATCCCTGCCCGTGAGTTCAACTTCTTTTTTTTTTTTTTTTTTTTTTTTTACAGGCAGAGTGGACAGTGAGAGAGAGAGAGAGAGAGAGAAAGGTCTTCCTTTGCCATTGGTTCACCCTCCAATGGCCGCCACGGCTGGCACGCTGCAGCCGGCGCACCGCACTGATCCGAAGGCAGGAGCCAGGTACTTATCCTGGTCTCCCATGGGGTGCAGGGCCCAAGCACTTGGGCCATCCTGGACTGCACTGCCGGGCCACAGCAGAAAGCTGGCCTGGAAGAGGGGCAACCGGGACAGAATCCAGCACCCTGACCGGGACTAGAACCTGGTGTGCTGGCACCGCTAGGCGGAGGATTAGCCTAGTGAGCCACGGCGCCGGCCGAAGTTCAACTTCTGAACATCTCCATCCTGTCTTCTGTAACATCAGTGAGTGTCAATAAGCTCCCCTGTGTTCCTTTAGCCAATTTGAATACCATTTGTTATTTGCCACAAAGGGTCTTGGTTAACAGAAGTGGAGATGCAGATTTTTAGAATCATCCTATAAACAGAGGTCTAAAGATAAAGCTCAAGGGGACTTCATTTGAGGAGAGAACAAGGGAAGAGAAGCCAGGGCAGACTAAGGGAGCCGTGATGGAGTCTGCAGATCCAACCCAGCGTAGTGTCTACCAGGCCAGAGGAGGAAACAGGTTGTCGACCAGGTAATATAGGAAGTCTTAGCAAGATGAGTCCTGAGATGAGTCTTCTGACCCAGAAATCAGGAGGTCAGAGGAGACTTGCACCAGGGGCTTGTTTACTACAGGAAACCAAGCCAGGGGACTGGGGGTTAAAGAATGAATGAAAAAAAAAATCTGTGCTGAAAATGGTAGGTGGGGGCAAGCATTTGGTGCTTGGGATGCCTGCATTCCACACCAGAGTGCCTAATTTCAAATCCTGCCTCCAGCTTCCTGCTAAGAACACCCTGGGGTGCAGCAGATGATGGTTCAAGTACTAGGGTTCCTGCTGCTATTCTCTCTTCCCCCACTCCCTGCCTCATCTCTCAAATAAAATGAAAAACAATGGTGTGTGGAGTACATATACTGGTCATGGTGACTGCTACTTCCTCCTGAGACATAAGTGGAGTAAGAGGAAAATGATTTTTAAAAAGTTTTGATCTACAAGGATGTTGAGAATGAGAGACAAGAGCTTAGTGGATAAAAATTGGCAATAGCAAATTAAAAATGCCAAAAAAAAAAATGTTCAGGAAAACTGTTGGCTTTGCAAAGTGGAGGAAGCAGAGACACCTGGGAGTCAATGTGTGGTCCTGGTGGGGAAACCCTGGCAACCCCAGAGCTAAGGCACAGGTAGCTTGGAGAGCAAGACTCAAGGTGGGAAACAGGGAGGCTGTATGCAAGCCTCTGTTAGAGCAATCAGACCCTTCCCTGATATGTCCAACCCTTTATAGTTCGATCACCAACCCCCTAATCTTCACAAGAAGATCCAGAGAATTATTCTAGAAACCAGAGAATTATTCTCTGGAGACCAAGAAAGGATCAGTATTCTGACCCTGGGATAGCTGCAGAGTCGGCATCATGGATGAAGTTCTCTGTCTTAACCTGAAGAATTAATGAAGGGCCACATACCAATGACCAGGGAACCAGGAGTCAGACATACGTTCTCTACGAAAGCCATTGAAAGAGTTCCTCTGCAGGAACAATTTCCCTGGGGTGGTTTGTACAATGGCAGTTTGGAAAAACAGGAATTACATTTAGCATAGTCCCTTCACTGTGTGCTTCTGGGTTAGGGTGAGGAGAGGAATCTGGGTGAAGCATAGAAAGCTGAAAAGAGAAGCAGCTTCCACTGTTCTCTAAAGAGCAACATAAAGCTCTTGGCCCACTGGAGCCCCCAAGCACTGTCACTGTAGTCTGGGTCACCCTAAGGGTGTAGGGCAATCTGCCAGGCCCACAGGTTCCCATCGACTCCCACATTCTGGGCCAGGCTCGTGTGCAGCTCTGCTGGAAAGGCCCCTGATTCTTTGGCAGGTCACCTGCAATCGATGAGCTTGAGTGGCAACAGCACCTTGAACTGAGTGTCTGAGTATCACAAACTAGGTGGCTGAAAACAATATGAATTTGTTGTCTCACAGGTATGGAGGTGAGAAGTCTAAAATCAAGGTATCAACAAGGCCACACACCTCTGGAATCTATAGAGGAACTCTTCCATGCATCTTTCTAATTTCCCAGTTGGCTGCAATCTGTGGCGTTTCCTGGAGTGTAGCTACTTAACCATACAACATGGTTGGATTTGAGGATTGACTTTAACATTAGTCTCATTTCTTTGTGTTTCTGGTCTTGATTTTTTTTATCCATAACATGAGGATTGTGTTAGCTTATTAAATGGGTTTATGCTGACAACAATAGAAAAAACCACTCCATTTTTCAATAAAAAGTCTGGTTCCTTCTCCACGCCTGGCACTGTACATGGACCCACAGAAATTCTAGTCTACAAGACAGGCACCATTTTCTGCAGCTTCATGAAGTTTGCAGTCTAGAAGGAATGAGTCACACATATTCAGAACAAATAAATTATAATGTATTCATACAGTGGAATACTACAGCAGTAAAAAAATAAATTCTGATACACACACCATCTGGATGCCTCTCACAGCCACAAGGGCAAATACCTATAAGAAGTTCAAGAATTGGAAAATTAGCCTGTGGTGATAAAAGTTAGAGAAGAGAATCACTTATGGGGCGAAGGTAGACTATCTTCAAGGGTGTTGGAAAGGTGCTATAGTTTGACCAGGGTGGGGTTCCTCAGATTTATTTATAAAAAGCCTTCAAGATTAGGCATTTTACTGGGGTAGGTTATACCTGAATGCAATCTTAACAAATATTCCCAGATAATTCATTATTTGCAGTAAGTATTACCAAGAAAAATTATGTATTCCAGAAGAGGACATTGTCTGAGATGAGAGTATATGAAAGAACTCCAGAGAGGGTGCAGCCAGAGGCAGTGGGGATAAGAAAGACCAGCATGAGGAGGTAAGCTTGGACCACAGCAGGCAGCCACTCTTACCCATGATAAGGGCATTGTGCTCATCTCTGGGACCTATGGCAGGGCTTTCAAGCATGTAGTACATCATCAATTAGTTTGCAAAGAGTAGATGTTCAGTCCAGTTACTTTCCCTACTGGTTGAGTTAGCGAAAGAGCATCTCTCTGTGGCAATACGTTATTTCCCAATTTGTATTTGGGGGTCTGCTCATTTAATATAGACCTCATTTTGTCAGCCTCTTGGGCATGAGACAAAAGTACCACTGAGCCAATGTCTGACATGTACACAGATCTGTGCAGGTATACTGCCCTGAGACGTAACTCTGAGGATGGACTATATCCTGATTGTACAAAAACAAGATCCTTTTCTGCAGAGCCAGTCAACATGTTCATCTAGAGCACCACTGCTCAGACAGTGCTCCCTGCAGCATCAATTGGTATCTATATCTGGCCATAGTTCCAGTTTTTATGTTGTAGGATTTGTTAGGGAGTTTATGATTGTTTAGGAGGGGGAACCACATACAACATTCCCCAATTTATTTGAACCAGGTAGCCTTTTTCTAGGGTGAACATCATTAGCAAGTTAAGGTATTATTCAACAAAACATGCTTTGGGAAATGTTGATCTGAAGTATGACAGCACTGCGCATGGGTACTTCCTAGTAGTGAGTGATTTGTGATACTACAGAGGGCGGTAGTCTGCTTTATCTTGATTCATTTTCAAGATAAATATAAATAGCTGACAGTGCAGTGGTTATTTTATTTTTGTGTCTCATGAAGTTTTATTTTCTCTTTTGCCACTGTCTTCTCACTTTCTCCATTTGTTCTTTGGAAGCTCTTTCATCTCTATTGGGCACAGATTAATCTCTTTTCTGGTAATTTTAAGTAGCTAAAATCTTCTCTGATTTTTTATATCATGTGAAAGAAATTTTACTTTTTTTAACCTCTTTCAGAAATTATAATAAAGCTAATTGGACTCAGGTCTCCATCCTAACCATCACCATTGACACATAAAATAGTGTTTTTCATATCTTAAGCCCAAAATCATGTTATCTCTTGTAGACAATTTTAGTGGAACAGACTGCAAAGAGCCCTAGAAATGTTAATTGTGCTACGTCTGACACATGGAGAACTTTAGGTATTCAATTCGAGCTGTGCATTTTCTTTGCAATTTTCAAAATGCACAGCCTCACACTCTCTTTCAAAGGCCCTGGTATCATCCAGAAGCAATTACGAAGAAAAACGAAATTACCTTTCGTCATTCTATCTATTCAGGGCCTTGGAAATGCAGACTGACAATGAGCTGACAATTATTTGCAATCCACTTTCAGTTAATTTCACCATAAATTGAGCCTGAGGACTGCTGACAAATAAAATATATTATTCATCTGAAAACATTCTCTTTGGACTCCGGTTCTCCAATCTATTTCATTAGTGATCACGATCAAACCAAGTTGGGAATTGATTTATGCAATAGTTATCCCTCTACCATAATTAATTAGGAAAATAATACTTTGGTAGAGCTTTGAAAAGGAGCCATTTCTAAGGCTCCTTGATAAAATAGAAAACTTTTAAAATAATTATGAAGCAGCATTCCTAAGGGAATAGGTATGCATTGCATTGACTTTCCTATTTCCACAAAACACTGGGCTTAACCCATAGTCAGGGATAGTTCCTTGAATCTCAAATGAGTTCTTTGAACAATTTTTGAGCATGTATTATGTGTCGGGCACTGTGGCTAGGTCTGTGAGGGTACTGAAATGGAGTAACTTCAATGAATGCACCTGCACAGAGAGCCATATGTTAACTGTTTTAAATGCTGCTATAGACATAGTCACAAAGTATGTTTGCAATTATAGAAGCTCCAGGGAATGCTTCATGGAAGAAAGTAGCATCAGAATTTGTCCTAAGACAATGGGTACAATTTCAATTGCCTGATATGAGAGGTGGTGGGTTAGAAGGAATAGAAGTGCAATTCTAGGCAGAGAAAATAATATCAATAATTGCAAAGAACTAGAAAAAATCCAAGTAGGTTTGAGAAGATGTGAAAAGACTAGAGTGGCTGTGAGAGGTGAGCAAAGGAAGGTACGCTGGACCAGATTGTGAAGAGGAGACTTAAAGTCCATTAACATCTGTGTTGTACAGATGACAAATCTGATGGGAGTATCATCGGGGGAAGGAAGAGATAACTGGAAAGTATTGTCATAGTCCCAGCAAGAGGCAACAAAAAATTGTGGAAGAGGAAAAAGTGATGCAATAATGAACATAATTGGCAACCATTTAGTTCATCCCTAGAGAAGTAAAGGCACATTGAGATCAAGGAGTTAGAAGAATTTTGTGGCTGTTGAAGCTTGGAGGCTGTGAGCAACGGATGGTGAGGAAAAGACTTATGAATCAAGGGCAGAAGCCTAGCTAGAAGGTGGGCTGTCCTGGAATGTGACAAGTGAGCATGATGCTTGTTCACTCTTGGTTCATGTATTCATTCAAGAACCTGTCATTGGGAACCTACTCCAGGGCACTGCGACACCAATAAGCTTTGATCAAAGGAGGAATTTATTTTCTTTGGTAGGGAAAAGTTTCTAGGTTAGAACTAGAAAGTAGAAAGTCATGGAATTTGAGATAAGGTTTCCAGGTCATCAAAAACTTGTAATGAAATGGAAAAAAAATGATGCCGTTCCAGCTTGTGCTTCCTATCACTTGCAAGGCAAGAAGAGGACTAGGAAAGAATGAACAACTTGTGTGCTGAATCTTACCCACCCACCTTGAAGGACTTTTCCTATAAATCATCCACTTAACTGTATTGTTTAGAAGTGGGTCATGGGGTCAGGACTGTGGCGTAATGGATAATTCCACTTCCTGCAGTACAGGCATCCCATGTGGGTGCCACTTTATGTCCTGGCTGCTCCACTTCTGATCCAACTCCCTGCTAATGTGCCTGGGAAAGCAGTAGAAGATGGCGCAAGTACTTGGGCCCTTACACCCATGTGAGACCCAGAAAAAGTTCCTGGCTCCTGGCTTTAGATGGGCCCAACTTTGGCTGTTGCAACCATTTGGGGAGTGAACCAGTGGATGGAAGATCCCTCTCTCTCCGTGTCTCTCCTTCTCTCTCTGTAACTCTGACTTTCAAGTAAATAAATAAATCTTGTGGGGAAAAAAAGAAATGGGTCACATATCTGCTCCTAATCTCAATGAAAGCATGGGATATGGGAAATGTAGAACCTGAGCACATTTCACACTCAACCAGTTTTTCTTTTAAAGACTTGTTTTGTTTACTTGAAAGGCAGAGTTACAGAGAGAGAGAGAGAGAGAGAGAGAGGGAGAAGCAGAGAAAAAGAGATCTTTCAACCACTGGTTCACTCCCCAAATGGCCACAATGGCCAGGGCTGGGCCAGGCCAAAGCCAGGAGTTCAGAGCTTCTTTCAGGTCTCCTATGTAGGGGCAAAGGCCTAAGCACTTGGGCTATCTTCTGCTGCTTTCCCAGGCACATTAGCAGGGGGCTGGATTGGAAGTGGAGCAGCCGGGACTCAAACCGGTGTCCATATAGGATGCCGGTGTCTCAGGCTGCAGCTTTTACTTGCTACACCACCACAATGGGCTCCCCTCAGCCAGTTTTGCTGGAAAGGAGGCAAGGAAAAATGGACACCACATAGACAACTGGTAGCTCCATTCTGCATATTTAAATGCATCTGTCATTCTATCTTCTTGGCTGATTCAAAGGTTACCAGAATGTAGGATTCTAGGTTAAAAGTGGTTTTTCTTTAGACTTTTGAACACATTTCCCCATGTGTTCCAGCATCCATCTCTTGAGAAATCATGCCATTCTGATTCTCATTTCTGTTAGGGGACCCGGTCTTTCTCTCATCTTCAGTGGAATTTGAGATAAGGTACTTCTCTTCATCTTCAGTGTTCAGAAATGTCATCGTAATTGTGACTTGGTATGGATCACGCTTCCATCCCTTAGCCATGATAATTGGAGGATCTTTCCAATTCTGATACTGCTTTAGTAGTTCTTTGAGAATCCCCTCCCCTAATATCTTCTATTAGATGTCTGACCTTCTGAACATTTCATTGGCTTTAGCTTCCAACTCTAATATTGAATTTTTAAATTTCAGCTATCTTTTTAAAAAATCTCAAAAGGCTCATTTTAAATTGTCTAATTATGCCGGCGCCGCGGCTCACTAGGCTAATCTTCCGCCTTGCGGCACCGGCACACCGGGTTCTAGTCCCGGTCGGGGCGCCGGATTCTGTCCCAGTTGCCCCTCTTCCAGGACAGCTCTCTGCTGTGGCCAGGGAGTGCAGTGGAGGATGGCCCAGGTGCTTGGGCCCTGCACCCCATGGGAGACCAGGAAAAGCACCTGGCTCCTGGCTCCTGCCATCGGATCAGCGCGGTGTGCCGGCCGCAGCGCGCCAGCCGCGGCGGCCATTGGAGGGTGAACCAACGGCAAAGGAAGACCTTTCTCTCTGTTTCTCTCTCTCTCACTGTCCACTCTGCCTGTCAATAAATAAATAAATAAATAAATTGTCTAATTATAATTAGTAATAATCTATAACTATATAATTCGTTTGTAAAAAGTAAGGTTTTTACAAATAAATTTGGAGTTTGGGCTGAGGCTCAGAGCCTAGAGTGGAAAGTACCCTCATGTTCCACAGGAAGGTGCTGGAGACTCATATAGACTTGTCACCAGGTAAAAAAACAAGCCCTGTGTCCTTAGCCCATCTTCCAACCCTAGCCCATACATATGAAGATACAAAAATAAATGCAGTCATGTGTTGCTTAATGAAGGGGATACACTCTATGAAATGCATCATTATGCAACTTCCTCATTGTTGCTTGAACATCATAGAGTGCACCATTGGGGATGTGATGACAAGCACACAAGATAAAATCAACAGAAAACGGTGCAAGGAAGAGAGTCCGTCAACTTGAGATGTAGGAAGCTGCTTGCTGGTATAACAGAGCATGGTGCTTTGTGGTAAACTTTAAAAAACAAGTAGAAAAAAAATAAAAAAGGAAAAAGGAAAAAAAGGTGCCGGTGCTGTGGCATAGTTGGTTGAGCTTCTGCCTGCGGTACTGACATCTTGTATGGATGTGGGTTTGAGTCCCACCTATTCCATTTCCTATCCAGCTCTCTGCTGATGTCCTGGGAAGGCAGCAGAGGATGGCCCAAGTGCTTGGGCCCCTGCACCTATGTGGGAGACCTGGAGGAAGCTCCTGGTTCCTGGCATCAGATAGGCCCAGCTCCAGCTGTTGAGACCATTTCGGGAGTGAACCAGTGGATGGAAGACCTCTCTCTCTCCCTCTATATCTCTGTAACTTTGCCTTTCAAATAAATAAAATAAATATATGATTAAAAAAAAACCACACACACAAAAGACCTGCAGCAGGAGTAGTCTAAACTTCCACCATTGAATTGAACAGATTTGTGAGTTTTCCCAAAAAATAAGTGAGAAACCAATAAAGTATGAGTGAGCCTGAAAAGATCCCACTCAGGAGTTCTGGCTCAACAGAGTGAAGAATTAGGGGAACATCATGAGACAGCAATTGCAAGGGGTTTCACGCAGTGAAGTGTGGGGAGAATAGCAATCATCAAAAGTCCCATGAGAGAGAGTAGGCAAAAAACCCTGCAAAAGAACTGCTATCAGAGGGGGTTAGCTGTGGGGAAGCTGCCACACAGACAGAAAGGCTGGGCACCACAGCCCAATCAAATGTGATTTTCCTCTTCTAATCTCTGCACCCCTCAGGCAGGACACTGGGGCTGGTGTGCAAGCATCAGGTGGTGATGAGAGGAAGAAGAGGGGTGATGGAGAGGAAACAGAGCAGGCCATGCAGCTCCACTTCCATTTGTCAGAATTCAGATGCAAGCCAGGAAGGAGAAGAAAGTGCAGATTGATGAGGATTGAAGATTAGATGAAACTAGACTTTTCAATAGCTGAAGATGAGGTCATTCTAATCTGCAGAAGTGCCCCAAAGAGCCCTAGAATCTGCACAACATATCAGCCAGGTGTGGGGGAAAGGAAATTTGACAGAGCAACTTTAAAGATGGATGGGAGGAAAACCAGGTTATCTCCTGCTTGTGCTTTGTCAAGTATAACCTGTTTCAGAAATTGTTTATAACAGCATTCATGTTTTCTCTTCCATTCTCTGTGTCTTTGTGGAATCCTACTTTTGTGTCAACATTTCAGAGGAATTTTAGAAGGAAGAAAAAATGGACACCTGTATTCATTCCCCTGTTTAAACCACAAGACAGTGCAGCTCCTTTTCCCCCCTTTTTATTGGCCATTAGCTCCTCCTGGAAAGTCTAAATTGACCTACATATATGAAATGGGAAATCATTAGAGAACAGCATAGTCACAAATTTCCACTTAGGTTTTGGGTGTATCCTACTGGCATGACCTCACTTAAGAGAAAGTTATAACTGTGGCCCTTATTTTGTAGCTGCCATCTGAACTCCTTTCTCTGACAGGATAGTCACTGACTGTCACATCTGCCACCTGGTGGCCACTCTGATGCATACATTATGCTAATAGTACTTAGGCTATGTCTTCTCCAAGTGTTTTCCCCTCCATCATCTAGCCATTCATCCACCCACCCTCCCATCAGTGGTCACTTGCTCAGGGAAGGCCTAAGCAAGCTGATAAACAGAACACCCAAAGCCCTTATCTTTCCTTAAGGAGCTGACAGTCTAATGAGAAAAAATTACATTGTGTTTGTTTTAAGGTAGATTTGTAAATGCTAATGATCTAAGGTCAAAATTTGTGTTTCAAAATCTCACTTGGCTTCTTCCTTGCAACTTAATAAGAGGCCATTAAGTCTTTGCCTTCTTAAAGGAAAAACAAAAGCCAAACAAGTAAACTCTCCATCAGTCATGCTATCTCTAACCATACTAACTCCTCCTTTCTGTTTGTTACCAAGTTCTCCAAAGAGGAATCTATATACCCTCTGTTCCATCTTGCCTCTAACTCATTTTTGTGTTTTTTTTCTTTATTTCACTGTTAGTATATTTTGTTATAAAAGAATTAAAATGTGCAAAAGCCAAGTACAATATGAGAGGTCTTCAAAAAGTTTATGGAAACTAAGCATGGATTTCAAATTTTTTTTCACCAAAATAAACTTAAGTTCTATTTCTCTACTAATTTTTTGAAATTTTATTTATTTGAAAGGCAGTAACAGAGAGAGTGGGAGGGAGAGACAGAGAGAGAAAGAGATTTTCCATCTGCTGGTTCACTCCGTAAATAGCCACAATGGCTTAGGCTGGGCAAGGCTGAAGCCAGGAGTCCAGAACTCCATCTGGGTCTCCCATGTGGGTGGCAGGAGCCCAAGTACTTGGGCCATATTCTGCTGCTTTCCCAGGCCCATTATCAGGGAGCTGGATTGGAAGCAGAGCAGCTAGAACTTGAACTGGCACTATAATATGGGATGTTGGTAAGGCAGGCAGTTTCACCTGCTATATCAAATGCCAGTCCCTCTCTACAAATTTTTAAGATACCTTCATACAATTAATTACTCATGTAATTCACCACCCCCACATTTTTATCAAATATTGATATTATGTCGAATTTTCCTTGGTTCCTCATGATCTAAGAAATAAAACATCTGGGGCCAGCATTGTTTTTTAGCTGGTTAAGCCTCTGCCTGTAATGCTGGCATCACATATGGGACCGGTTCAAGTCCTGGCTGCTCCACTTCCAATCCAGCTCCCTTCTAATTTTGCCTGGGAAAGCAGCTGAAGGTGGCCCAAGTCCATGGGCCCCTGCACCTATGTGGGAGACCCAAATGAAGCTCCTGGCTCCTGGCTTCAGCCTGGCCCAGCCCTGGCTGTTGTAGTCATTTGTGGATTGAACCAATGGATGGAAAATTCTCTCTCTTTCTCTCTTCCTCTCCCCCCCCCTTCTCTCTCTGTAACTCTGCCTTTCAAATAAAATAAATTTTTAAAAATATTTTTAAAAGAAATAAAATATCACAGATAAAGACATTCTTTGTTCCTCTTTCCTGCTCCCTTCCTGTTCCTTCTCTGTCTCTTTCCTCAGACAAAACCATGACATTGACAAATAACTTAAAACTGAAACATCATCCTAAAAATCGTAATCAAACAAGCTTCTATTTCAATCATTGTATCATGACTTAATAGCAATAAAACTCAGAGTAAGTAAAAGCAATAAGAACGACTCTGGTAGAGAGAAAAAATGTTGTCTTTCTGTGGTTCTGGAATCCATGATAGTTCAACTAGAAGTCTGTTAATTATAATATTTAGGATGATGTTTTACAATTTCAGATTATCTGTCAGTGTTATAACTAATGACATCCATGATGTTTTATTTGTAGATAATTAACTTTTGTTGTTAATAAATACAAGAAAGTAATCCAGAAACACTGCTGAAATTTTTGTCATTGCCTAGAAATGTGAAAATTCTTAGGATGATACTGCATAAATATAATGCTGTAACACTGTGAAATATATACTTGACTGACATACTTAAATTCCTTGATGTCTGGAGTGATGAGTGTTTTTGTGCTACTGAGATGACGAGTGACTAGGGGAACAGAGTTCCAGAAGTTTCCAGAGAGCTGAACACATGGAGGTTCCTGGAGAGTAGTGCATCCATCAGAGGGCATGGGAGCTCTGAGCCCCTCCCCTCATGTCTTGCCCTGTGCCTCAGTTCCATGTAGCTGTTCATCTGTATCCTTTTTAATATCTTTTATAATAATTTGGCATATGCAAGTGTTTCCCTGAATTCTATGAGTTGCTGTAGCAACTCTTAGGAGTCTCAATTTATAACTGGTCAGTCAGAAGTACAGCTCACAACTTGGGCTTTTTATTGGCCCCTCAGGTAGAGGTATTCTTGTGGGACTGAGTCCACAATCTGTGGGATCTGGTTATCCCTAGGTAGAAAGTGTCAGAATGGAACAAGAGTACATTCAGCTGGTATTTACTGCAGAATTGCCTGGTCAGTATGGGGGAAACAGCCCCAAATAATCTGATGTCAAAAGTATTGAGTGTCTAAGTAGAGTGGGAAAACACACATTGATTTTTACCCTTTATGTATCACACAAATATATAAATTTTTTCTATCTTAGTTGATTTTGTGATAGCAAAATGATATGGATATTATTGCTATTTAAGAAGGTCATCACATTAATAATGAAAACAAGAGTTTTTAGCTTCTCTTCTACAGTAATTTCGAATTTCCTCTCATTTAGTTTCATATTGATGGAAATGTAGTTACAAGGATACCATTATGTATAAGTGTTGTCTGTTTAGAAGTGAATTTCCTGGCCAGCAACGCGGCTCACTAGGCTAATCCTCCGCCTTGCGGCGCCAGCACACTGGGTTCTAGTCCCGGTCAGGGCGCCAGATTCTGTC